TTTAGGTGTCATCACAGTCATTAGTGATATTTTCAACCTCTCCTCAAGGTTTCCTGTGGTTTTTCTTTCTTGTTTCTCCTTAATATCAAACATGTAATACCACAAATGTATGTAATCAAGATATTCCAGGGAACGTACTAGAGCAAGTGGTTGTAAAAAGGAAACTGGGTCCAGGAAAAAGATACATGTTCTAGGGAATTAAATCTATTTGGAGATGATGAAAGGAATTCCTTCTAGAAGTTGAGTTTCCTATTTTTATTTATGGATAGAGAACTTAACCTGATAATAATCCTTGCAAACAAAGATTATTGACTAGTCAAGAGGCAGTATGAATAAGGAAGGAAAAATTTAAATTTTCTCATTTAGTGATTACTCTACAGATGATGACAGGAGAGCAGTAAGTTTTACTTCTTTACAACTAAAAACTCAGGTTATCAAAGGTTACCACATGTAAGATTATCGTTCTGAATACATAGGATTGAGCTGTGTGGCTCATAACAGATTCTTGATGGTTGATTCCTATTAAATCAGTCTCTGGACATAGGTGATATCAGTGAAGCAATTCTATTTATTCACTTACTCTTACATTTATTCAATGAACCAACATTTATAACAATATTTTGTATGACACTGGGCTAAATACTGAAAACAAAACAAGTGTCTGTTTTCCCCTCTGGAACCAAGGCCCTCCTGTCAAGTTTGTTTTCCCCTCTGGAACCAAGGCCCTCCTGTCAAGTTTGGTCCATGTCATCCAAATAGGCATTTTCCTTCCTAGGCAGAAACTTTGAGCAGCATTACTCAATATTAATTTTTTTTTTGGTGATACCCTCGCCGGTGGCCTGGGAACAAACCCGTGCTGCAGAGGCTGCGGGCAGCCTCGCAGCCCAGCGCTCAACCACTGCGCCACCAGGGGAGGCCCTCAATATTAAATATTAAATAGAGATGCTATAGAACAATATACTTCTCTGTTAATTTGGAAAAGGGCAATCTGAATTAGAGAAAAGATTGCATTGTAGACCATGTAAAAGGAAAAGCAGATTACCCATGAACAACTACAATATTCAGAACTAGGTTGCAGAATTCTTCCCTCCCTGTATATGTTTTCAAAATATGTTTTAATCATGGTTTAGTTTAATTATAAATTGACATGTTAGCTATTTATTTGGATTATAGAGTCTGGAAGATACTTTTTAAAAGTTTATTCTTTAAATTTGTGAAATATTTGGGACATATTCATCATGCTGTTAATTTTACTTCTCCTCTCTTTCTAGATCTAGATCTACAGTTCAGTAGTCACATCTGACTGGTCCAAACTGAGCACAAGAGGTGCTGATATACAAAACTCACACCAGATTCTAAGACTTAATAAGAAAACTGTGCAAAAGTGGTTCATTCATTTAACTATTCATTGCATGGTGAAATTAGCCCATTTTGGAAATATTGTGGGAAATAACATATTATTAAACTTTTTTTTCCTGTGCCTTTTAATTTTTTAAATGTGGCAACTAGAAAATTTTTAAAAGGTGATTTGCATTATATCTCAGTTGGACAGCACTGCTATAAATAAATCTTCTAAGATATTAGTAGATTCTAATTACTGCCTGTGAAAGACAAAAATAAAATGAAAAATGTCCTTAATGATTCTAAAAAGTCAACCTTCCAAATCAAGGCAAAATGAACTAGGCAAGGGGCCCACCTAGTACAAAGGAAGGAACTGCGAATCTAGGATAAACTCAAGTAGCCCAGGGCCTCAGGTAACCACAGTTCAGCACTGTAGAGTCAGCACCACAACATAATAGTAGTTCTAGGAGAATGATATCTAAATTTAAATAAAATATGTAAAATGGTTTCTCAACCTAGAATTCATGAGAGGAAAGCATCAATAGAAGGACATAGTGTTCTGATGAGCCAGTGAAGAAATGAGTGAGCTTTCACCCCACTGAACCAGACGTGCCTCATTTCTAGCCCCGTCCCAATAACCTCTATGATTCCAAGTCCCAGGACTGATCTGAGGTGCCCTCTCCTTTCATTTTGAAGGTGGGTGACCCAACAAGGCCACCTGAGGACTCTGGGCACTCAAAATTAGCATGATAATCTTAACTTACTTGAATGGTTTTGAGACATCATTTCTTTTCATTATAATGGTGTCTGTTTTGACTCTTTCAATTCTTCCTCTATTTTGCTCTCCCGGTGTGGAAAATTATCTTTCAGCTCAGCCATAACCTCACTACCCAAGCATCTTCCAGTCTCACAGTTCACAACTCCTACTGTCAGACACATTTCTTCACCACTCAGTTCATATTCTATGTGGTTTAGTCAACTAAAAAAAATAAAAACTTTTAAGAATTTTATCTCGCAGCCAGTCATATGATTATGAAAGAAGGCAAAATTGTAGACAGATTTATTATAATACTTAATCAAGAGGCAGAATTACTTCTCTTCACACCAAAGAAAATTGAATATTGTAGCAAGAAATCATTTTTTCAGTAACATTCATTATTTAACAGTAATTAACAATAAGAAGTTTGTCCAACCAACAGGAATAATTCAGCATGTTGTGATAAATTCATAAAGTGGAATCACTACACAACTATTAAAATTCATGCTTTTGAAGATTAATGACAAAGAAAATGCACACAATGAAAGTTGATAAAGATGAACAACTATTTACAATATGATCTGATTCTGTGTTAAATAAAATACATAGGTTAGGTTAATAGTGACTACCTTAGGGTTATCAGATTACAGGTACTTTTTCTTCTTTACATAGAGTTTTTGTGTTTTAATTTTTTTACAGAGAACATATAATACTCTTATAATCATAAAAATATATTCATAAAATAAACTATCATTCATTAGTTTCCAGTTTTAATAATAAGGCCAATTTTAAGATACCACCAAAAGTTATCTTTCCTGAAAAAAAAAATCATACCACCTTTAAAGATGATACATAATACAGTACAGTATTTTATTATACACTATAATCTCGCATCTGTGAGATTAGTTATGACTGATATGATATTGACTTATCTATAAAACAAACATTAGGTTCACCTGAAACTCTGGTATAATAGAATGACGTCCTTGATTGAAAATTGATTGGCAGGACTTATTTAAGGGGCATGAAAGGATAAGACCTAATAAGCCCTTTCTGAAATCAGTAGCATGTTTCAGTGTAAAAGTTCAAAGCAAAACTATTTTAAAGCTAGTTCCACAGAAGTAGCAGCAAAAAATATAAAACTGACCTCCGAAATCAAAAGAACAAATCTTCCAGTGTTAGACCAAGTGCTTTTGAACCTATTAAGACCTATTTTAAACTATCGAGTCAAAGAAATTATAGCACATTCTGAAAAACAGAAAGTGGAGTCTTTCTCATAGGATGAATTATTACTTCATTCTTTCTCTCTAAGAAAGGTCACCTCATTCATTCCAAGGTCTGTTCCAAAATGAAAGGGCTTATAACCAAATTAATCATGACATTGCTTATAATAAGCACTTTTCCTCCTTTCACCCTTCTAGAGTCACAGTAGTATATTGCATTTCACAATCAGTTTATGATTTCTGAAGAGCCGAGCACCCCATAATTTACACTCATCTTTCTGTGAACACTTAGTGAAAGTCCCCATGAGCAGACCTCAAAAGGGTGCAATGACACCAAGGATTTAGATAGGGTCTTGAAAGTCACATTGGCATCCAGATCAGCAGAGACCTCTCGACTTTCCAGTTCCAGTCCAGACCTGCGGAGATCTCACAGCCTCCTGTGGGTCTTCTCCAAGCACTTGCCTGGACCCTCAGAGGCCTCGTATCTCCGACAAGATCCCTACCCCTCTAGCACTTGCACTGACTGGTGAGACCCTAGGCCCATGTTAAGGAGTAAGTTGGAGTGACCAGTGGCCTCACAATCTCCCATGAGACCCCAACAGCTGCTCACCCAGATAACCAGAACTGCCATCATGTGTCACACACAGACTTGGGAGGGGAGGGGATGTCTCAGAGGTCCTGCCCACTGACCCCAGCCACCCCAACCAGGACTACCAATGTACTGCATGACCAGATGTGCTCTCAGTAAGGCCCCCGCTACTGTACCTACCACCTGGTAAACACCCAGGATAGTGGGAGAGGAAGATCCACATCCAAAAAAGCCCCATCAGCAACAGAGCAAGCCCAAAAGCAAACACAGGGGAGAAAGAAAAATATACCACAGAAAGAAAACCATTTCCAGAACCCAACAATACAGACATGGAAGAGCTTTTCTTTCTATAAGATAAAGAATTCAAAACTGTCATAACCAAGAAAATCAAAGAAATATAGGAAGAATTAGAATAAGAACCCACCTCAAAAAAAAAAAAAAAAAAAACCCACAACCAAATCAGCGATTTGAGAAAACTCAAAAAGGAAAAGGAAGCTATAGAAACATAAAGAACAGAACATTGAGCTTGAATCTCTAAATAATAAAACGATGGGGGCCTCCCTGGTGGCGTAAGGGGTTAATCACAGCACTGTGAAGCAATCCGTGGCCTTTGCAGTGTAAGTTTGATCCCCCAGCTGGCCAGAGAGCTACCCACATGGTGCAGCAGACCTCTCCTGTCTCACCTGCTGCTCCCCTCAGGAGTGTATTTCAGTAGATCTGCCTGTTCTGTTTCCCACTCTGTCTCTGGTGAATCCTCTCACCCACATCCCTCCAACACCTCTGGCCTGTATCCCAGTTCTCGTATGCATAAATAAATACATCTTTTAAAAAATGATGGAACTGCAGAATATAAAAAAATCAATAGAGGAGGTAAAGAATTTTGGAAAAAGTCATGAAAGTAGAATAGACCAAATGGAGCAACAAATCCGTAACCTTAAAGATGCAGATATGAAAAGAACCAAGATGGAAAGAGAAACAGAGCTATAGAGAAAAAAAGAATAAAGAAACACTTGGAGAATTATCTGACACTATGTGGAAATACAAGGAACCCCAAAAAAGAAAGAAAGAGTTGAAAACTATTTAAAGAAATTATATTTTTTAAAGATTTATTTATTCATGCATACAAGAACTGGGGTATAGGCCAGAGATGCGGGGGGTGAGAGGATTCACCAGAGACACAGTGGGGAACAAAACAGGCAGATTGACTGAAATACACTGCTGAGGGGAGCAGCAGGCAAGTGGAGAGGTCTTGTTGCGCCATGTGGGTAACTTCCTGGCAGGGGATCAAACTTGTGCTGCAGTGGCTGCGGATAGCTTCATAGGTTGCGTCTTAACCCCTTGCGCCCTCAGGGAGGCCCAGGAAATTAATTTTTTAAAAAAGTTCTCAAGCTTGAAGAAGGAAATGCATACAGAAATACAGAAAGCTACCTAAGTAAAAGGAAATCTATAACAGACATAATAGTGAAGCTACAAAGAGTCCAAAAAGGGGTTATGCTGAGTGAAATGTCAGAATGAAAAAAGATAAATATCAGATGGTTTCACTTATATGTGGAACACAGGAAAAAAAAAAAAAAACAACAAAGGATCAGACAAAACAAACCTTGAAATCTAACCATAGATATGAGATGCCCATGAGGGACGGGGGATGGGGTGAGGTGGCAGAGAAGGGACAATGGTGGGGGCAAGGGGTGGGGGAAGAGGACAAAGGAATATGGTGATGGACTCTGGGTGCTTGGATGGTGGGAGAATTGCAATGACCACACCAGAGTGGAGAAATCATATATTGTCCAAAAAATAAATAAACATTACTAAACTTGAAATAAATATATAAAGTTCTGTCATTTACTCAGCTAAGTATATCATTAACCAGATAAGAAAATTATTATTAGCAGCATAGGGCAGAAACATTGCTTATACAATAAAAAGAACATTCCAGCATGGGGCCTTTGTCATCTCTTCTATATTTTGCCATTTTCCTTCTCAAGAGAAATTTGGTTTGACAGAGCATGGTCATTTGGTCTTATCATGGCTATTGAGAGATGATTGTTTGGGACTTAACTTTTTATTCTAATTTTTACAATTATTCCTTTCAAAATAAACTTTGCTTTTAGGAGTAAGCACAAATAAAAATATTCCTGACCTTGTCATTCAATTTCAGTAAAAGTGTTGCCTTAGTATGGTTTCTAATTTCTCATGTTTTTGTTACAGAATGTGCAGAAATGATAGTCACTTTAATTGCCCCCCAAAAAGGACAAATCCAGGTGTTAAGCATATTTTTCAGTATTTTACAATTACCTGTGCTCATTTCAAAACCACTGTCACGTACCACAAAAGTCAGATAAATGAAATCTATAGTTTTCACAACACCAAGAAGTGCAATGATTCATATCTGATATATGCAGGTAACTATTTCAAAATAGAAGAATAGGAAAATATTAAAGACTATTTGTAACTTCTTCTACCTTTCTTAGAGTAGTAAAAAATAAGGGAAAGAGAAATAATAAAAGCAAAAATTAGAAAAGCAATGAAAACCAACAAAGACTTTCTGGTGTGGAAAAAACTGCACTCTGTGCACAAGGTGAATTCTTCTGGACAAAATCTTCCCAGAGTTCCAGGGCTTGGGAAGCCGTTGTTATCAATCATTTTCCTGTAGTATTTCATGGAAGGTTTGGGCTCAAACTGATTTGCAGCATAACGATAGAGGCCAAACTTTGGAGCTGTGCGATCACTAAATGAATAAGCAAAGTATCCACAAAGATTGATACCATCCAATATGTAGGCTATAAAATAAAGGAACAAGAGAATAGTTGTTGAAACATTTTGCAAATAACCCTTTACTTTTACATAGCTTTGCTGCATTGGAAAGAAATTTCAATACCATTTAATAAAACTTCAATTTAATTAATCAAAAACGGCTTCCTTTATGCAAAGATAAAGAGGCAAATATCAAGACAAAAATTGTATTGATATCCTGTAGCAATCAATCGCCTGTCTTGATATACCTGTAACAATCACTTTCCTATAATTAAAACTACTGTGATGTTCTTGGATTAAATCTTCAAGTATATGAAGAGGTAAGTGTTGTGAAGCTATCTGGAAGAAAGACTGAGTCCGTGCTTATAGATCCTGAGTAGGTGCTTATAGATCCTGACTGAGTAGGTGCTAAGAATTTCCCCTCTCCCACTGATAGCTAAAGTCCTTTATCTTTGGGAAGATATGTGCTCTCTCCTGGACTTTTTCAGTGTGACAAGGAATGCACAGCACTTAGCTGTTAGGATGACAGTGTGTGTTTATGTTTGAGGATTTCTGTCAGGTATCATGCTTTCGAGCAATACGAACTTTCAAGAGACTGCTCTTCCAGGGGCTCCTTACCTTTTAAAGCTTCATTTACATAATTCTGCATATAATACACCCTCAGCTTGTCCTGGGTGGCATGCAGGTCATCATCAATGCCATTGGATATGATATACATGGGGAGGTCTCCATACTTGAATTTGAGCCAGTTCAGGACTTTGCGTAACCCCCAGGGCACTACAGCCACTTGACTGGGAGAGTTGAGCCAGGTGATGTCCGTCATTTCTTGCACCTCCAGGTAGTCATTGTATTTTACTGGATCCTCTTTCTCCCAGTCTACCAAGATGGTGGTGTAATGGCTGAAAGCCAAAAAGTCAAAGGAACCCTGGATTAGCTTCTTATCATCTTCAGTGAAATAAGGTAGAAGGAAATTGTTTCTTTGGTTCAGCCACTCCCTCATCACTGGCGGATAATCTCCAGAGCCAAAAATGGGCTCAGCCAGCCAGCCAATGTCAAATTCCAAAACTCTCTCTGCCACTTCTTTGTCTTTTGGGGAGAAAGGGCAGGCGGGTTCTATCCAGTCAGCCTGCAAGGCTATGGAAATTTTACCTTTCTGAAAAGGTCTAAATTCCTCGTCATACACACGCCAAGCCAAAGCATGCGCCTTCAGGAGATTGTGCCCCGCCGTGTATGTCATGTTCCTTGTGTAGGGCTCGCTCATCGTGATCCAAAACTTGACGTGGTGGCCGAGGTCATTGAAGCACAGCCTGGCGTACTCCGCAAAGGCCAGCGCGGTGTGCGGGTTCTCCCAGGCGCCGTGCTTGGCCAGAGGCCGTGGCAGCCCTTGATGCAGGCCCGCGGGGCGCCACAGGGCCACCACCGGGGTGATGTTGGCGCGCACGAGCTCACTGACCACGCAGCGGTAGTAGTACAGGACCGTGCGGTTCACGTGGGACTGGTTGCCCCGCGGGAGGATCAACGCCCAGTCCAGCGAGAAGTGGAGATGCGTCACGTGCATGTCCTGGAGTAGGGCGATCTGGGGCCGGATGGCGGCGAAGTCCACGCAGTAGGATTTCCTCTTCTTGGTCACGACCCCATCTACTTTAATGAGCCGCTTGCTGTGGTGGACATCCCACAGGTAAATGTTCGGATCGGTAAACTGAGACAGGGTGGTGTCGACCTGGGGAGGAGAGAGCAAGCGAGAATTTCACCTGATTGCCCGGGGAAAGCTATCCAGTGCAGTTTGTTCAAAAATACTGGGGAGCCAGATGAGCAATCAGAGAATGCTTTCTCACTGAAATCTTAAACTACTTTTCACAAATACTAGGTCCCTGAAGAAGGAAACATTCTATTTTGGTTTATGCACATATGTTTTACCCATAGTTCTCTCTAACCCTTGGACTGCCCCTTTTGCCCCTTTAATGTTTAAAAAAAAAAAAATTCTGAATTCTTTTGGTCACTTCAGATGACAGACTTTATTGCTTCTCACACACGTTTCTCTTTTGTGCAAGCAGAGTACTTAGGGGCGTAATTTTCTTCAAATGTAAGAAATCACTAATAGTATAAAAGTTTCTGGTTAAAAAAAAAAGCGAGACACAAAAGATAAAGCTTAAAAACTGAGTGAAATAGAATAAAAAAATGAAGTGATGTTTAAAATCCAAGTGTGCTTCTTAAAAGCACACTCCAAATTGAGGTTTTTTTTCTAGGAAGAGAAGGTACTAAATATTATGCACATAAAACTGTTACCATGTTTTGGCTTTAGAGCCAGTGACAGAATTTAAAAACCTCAATTTGATGGTAGAAAGTGTTAGAGAATATGGAAATAAAAAACATATTTTCATTCACTAATAATTGGATTTTTTAAACATACTTAAAATTTTTCCTAATTATTTTTCTGTGGTGATTATAATGATAATGGTTCTCAATCATCCGATATATAAGCTTCCAAAATGAAAATAGGTGTTTAGGAAGAATAGACAAATTCTAAAATCAAAATCACAAATTCCTCCTACCATATGTAACCCTTGAGAGAATGAAAATTGAAAATCTCCCTTCCCCCCAGCCTCCAGTTTTCTCCTCAAATATAACCCATTAGAACAGGTTCCTTGGTGTGACCCCCTCTATAAGAGCAGGAGTAAAACGAAGTCTAGTTTTTACTTTCTAGCAGAGGTTTTGTTGTATTTTATGGGCCTGTTGCAAATGAACGTCTGTTTCTCTGGAGGGGTCAGTGCTATGTTTATAAAGGAAAGCAATAAAAGCCAGCCTGTCAGAGAAAAATTGCTTTTTCTGGAGAAGTGTCCCTGGTAGATCACCCACACATGCATTTCCCTTAATACTGTGGGAATGCGGTCAGAAGTATTTTTCCACTGTGATGCACCACAAATCAAGTTTCCTCAGTTCTGCAAGAAAAAAAATGTTTGCATGCTCTTTTGAAGTGAACGTGTTCATAACACGAAAGATTTGTCTGCATTACTTTTATGGAGTGTTGGGAGGACTAAATTCATAACTTTTCTCCCATAATTCTTTCAAAACATCAGCTTTTATTCTGTGCATCTGAAAATAAATGAGAGATGAAATAATTTTTTGAAAAGACATCTGTTTCTAAATATAGAATAGTTAGGAATGAATGCTTGGCAAGTTTCTATGTAACTTCCATTAATTTGCTGACCTTTTCTCAATTAAAAATGAAATTATAAAGTTGCACCTCTCAGAAGGAATGGTATAAAGTATGTATTTGGTATATTACAGAAACTAGCACTAAAGAAGCTGTATGGCCTCAGTACAGGCAGTTTCTCCACCATAGTCAGTATCTGCATTAGTGGTTATGAGAGAACAATGGGTTACCTGGGATCCAGTGTCCAAATTCAGTGATAACTCATGTGAATAAGCCTAACATCATACGCCAGACAGCTGGTATGCTTAATGGGATATCATTTTTCAAGTTTTTGAGTTGACATGCATGCCTCATTAACACAAGGAGTTTGAAACACTAGCCAGGAGGGGAAAGACAAAGTTAAATGCTTTAAAAAATCACTTGTCGGCATTTTAACATAATATCTTTAAAATATAGACTACAGTTCCTAAATTAAAGCACACATGCACTTTGCCCAAAACTGACCTAATGAAAAGTTTGCTTTATTTTTTTATTAATAAGAGGTTTGTTTGGGAAGGGCAATGCCAAAATAATACAGAGTTCAAGGTGAACAGCAGAAGGAATAAAATAATTATTGCAGGCATTTCACAGTAGAGAGTTTACAGAGAAGTTCACCATGGGTTTGGGAGTGACTGAATTTTGTGTTTGGCTGATTCTGCATAGGCAGGGACTGGAGAAGTAGTAGAATAAGCACCCCAAAGCTCATGAGGCAAAAGGATGGCAAGACCTTAAAGAAAATATCCAGGGCTCATGAGTGGCTGGCTGATATTGGTTCAAATTCTGAACAGATTGCTTCTAAGGAGTAGAAAGTAGAATTCTCTCTCCCCTCCCTTCCTCTTCACTGTCATACTTGTTGTATTTGAGTAGAGTTTCTTTTCTCTCTCTAGGAATAGGATATACTCTTAAAATTTTCTCACTACTTCCCATTCTTAAGGCAAACACCATCTTGGATGGGGGGGCCAGAGCAAGAGTGAAAGGACCCCTCCAACATCCCTGCTCATCGCTGAGTTCACACTGTGCACAGAGATGCCAGAGGAGACGTCTCTTCACAAAGGATTGAACTGGAGCTACCCTCCAGGCTCGGCTGCTATCAACTATCAGGGCAGAGTGTGGAGCCTCAATGATGAGGGAGCCCAGGCCAGCAGGGAGCAGGCATCACAAAAAGTCAAGCAATAGAACAAGGACCAGAGACCACTGTCCCATCCCCAATGATACTCAGGGGACAGTGGAGAGACCACAGAAGCCATCCTCCTCCTTGGCACTTTTCTTCTCTTTCTCCCCCATCAACACTGCTTCTGCCCCTTTGGATCCTACTTGAACCCCACTGTGTATCTCACTTGCAGGAGAAAAGTTAGGATAGGAAGGTTCCAGATCACAGGGGCTGAGAGAGGAGAGACAGAGGAAGGAGGAACATCCCAAACCGAGCAGGGGGAACTAAGACTCGCTACTGTGCTCAGTTAGCCTTGCTGACAAATGTTTCTCAGTTGCTTTTTAAATGTTAAGGAAGGGGTTGAAGTCTGAGGCTGCCCTAAAACTAACCAATGTTCTCAAAAAGACAAGAATACAACCCAGCAAAATAATTATTAAGCATAGTATTGATCAGTTTTCTTATAATAAAAGATTTCAATTTATTTTTTACAAGAAACAGCAACCCACTTTCCTCAGATATTAGCATTCTTCCAAATATTTCTTTTGAACTGAAGGGTAACAGAAGATGGGACCCCAGAATATGACTTGTTCAAGACATGCCACCCCAAAACACTCTGTGTCCGTCAGTGTACTGGTTATTTTGAATTGCAGGCATTTTAAAATACTGAAAATACCGGGAAAGATTTTATCTAAACTAAAGACAGTTTAGATAAAGATTTCATCTGCCTAAAGACAGGTCATCCAAAAGGAACTCATTAGTAACCCTCTCTCAGGGAGCTTCATCATCTCTGGAAGATTGACCTTTGTCACAGGAGGCAAGACTAAAAGTCAGCATCATGCACAAAGTTTGTCACAAACTATCACACCTTCCATCTATTCAGATTCCTTCATCTTTGCTAAAAATAATTTACTCTCCCTCCTCAAGGTCCATAAGTCTCCTCTTTGTTCCCTATTAAGATGGTACTTAAACCTCAATTCTAAGTCACCTCAGGGAGTTACTCATTTTTCCCTGAGTATGTTTCATGTGTACATAAAGTATGCATGTTAATCTTTAGTTTGTTTTCTCTTTTTACTATCTTCCATCTTAAGGCTCTCAGATAAGGACTCAGAAGGGCACAGAAGAGGAAATTTTCCTCCCCTGCAAAGACAAAGAATTCACTAGAAGCACCACCCAACATATTAAATCCCACTGCTTGTCTGTGGACACTGATCTTGGTCGCTAGTTTTGTTCAGACTGTTTAGCAACCCCTTGTGGCTGATCAGTTCGCTTCCCACCATGTTGTGTTCACTCAGTTATTTTACTTGTGTATCCATCATTTTCCCTCAGTAGAGTCCTTTGAAAGCCGGGGTCACACTCTTCTCAGCATGTGTCCCCCTTGATCTAGCAACCCCAGCAACTAACACAAGGGTTTGTACATACTGGATATCCAATAAGTGCTCATCACTGTGTTCCGTCAAACTCTAGAAAAAAATCCTTTAAAATTAGGAAAATTAAATATAATATTGAAGGCTAACTACATAGTACATCCTCAGTAAATTGTAATTGATCATTTTGAAGACCTTCCATATCATTTTGATGACTATTGCTAGAAATGGCATTTCGATCAGTGAATCATTAGAACAAGGATTTTCATTTTCCAGGGTTTTCTGCAAGTTTGGAGAGTCCAATTGTGCCTCAGGAGGACACTGCCTAATGTTCCTGCCTCAATCTCAGCAGCTCCACTGACATGTCAGGTAATGTGGACTATTCTGATATATTTTGTTTAAGGAGGAACTCAACTGTTTTTAATAAGTATGAAAACCACTGCATTAAAAGAGAGTATTTTATCACTTTATTATCTTGCCAGATCTTAAATATTTATATGTTTTAAATTTGTTCCCCTTTAGGAACAAGCGCAAGATAAAGCTAAAATGGAGAAAAGGGAGGAGTGTTCAAAATTCTGGCTTTGATGTGCTCATTAGGGAGCCATGTCTGGCCTGAAGAACTGACAGTATGTCATGACAACCAGCCTAATAAGGAAGCACTACTTACTAGTGATAGGACTTGGTGAGACTGCTGATTGGATTTGTCAGCTGACTTACTTGAATGTAGTTGTCAACAATTCCCCAAGCAAAGTCACAGGGAAATGTCCCATTTAGGGGTTGATTTTCAGGTAAAGGAGGGAAGCCGTTTTTCTCTATCAGCTTTTGGTAGAACAAGGCTGAAGACTTCGGCAACAGCTTCTTATCTTGGCTTAGAAAGTCAACATAGAAGAGTCCACGTCTGATGCTATAGCCTCTGTGCCACTCGAAGCCATCCATGAGGGACCATGCAGTGTACCCAATGACATCCACACCATCTAACTTGATGGCTGCAAAGGGAAAATAAAACAAGAGTAGTGTGACCATTTGCTACACACTCACCTTATAATTCAAGGGCATTGGAAGGGTTTTCAACTTAACAAAATAAGTTCAGTATAATGCTTATTGTTTGGGAAAACCACAAACTTTTTAACTGATAACTCTACAAATAAATGTCTTCACAAATAGACTTATCTAAAATGCTTTTATTTGGATTTCCTTCCAGTGGGGGGGTCTTCAGATCTGGGAAGATGCCTTGTTCCACTTTCTATCCTAAATACCTAGCATTGTCATTGTCCCTAATGCAATGAATGAATTAAGTCTTTAAAAGCAGGAACTGCCTACCATTTTCTCCAGAAAATTGGTATTTCTTTAAAAGTTATGTTATATAATTTTAAAAAAATGTAGGAAGAGAGAGGTATCCAGGGATTTATTTAATAGTTCATATAATCTAAAAATCTAGAGTAGTAACTCTGAAAGTCAAGTAATTTCGTACAATATAATCTTGTTTCTCATTTATAAAATGAGTTTTGAAAAATGATTTGAATTCCTCAAGGCTCCAAGTGTTATGCAAATGCATTCCTACTATGCCAAAAATTGATTTCTCTATTATGATTTAAAAATATAAGTTCTTATAGTTTATTGCAGATCATCTTAAAGATTGTTTTTCCAGTACATTTTGGCAGGAAATTAGAATTTTATCCACAACCCTACCTTTTAAGGTTTCCATTATGAACTTTTTGAGGTAATACATATATTTGGCATCATCTCTCTTGGTGGTCCCTGAAACAAACCAGCCATTTTCTACAATAAATATTTGAGGGTGATTATATTCAAGGTCAATCCAGGAAAGGAGTTGTCTCAGACTGGGGGATTCTAATTGGCGGAACTTCATGTGAGGGTCCAATAGTTGAAAGCTCAAGGTTGGTCCAAAGGAAAGAGCAAAAAAGTCAGCTGTTCCTTTGATGAACTTTTTCTCAGATTCTGTGAAATCAGGCAGAAGAGATGAAAGATTGTTCTTCATGCTCTCAGGATAGTCACCATCAATAAATATGGGTTTGGCAAACCATCCTAATACGAAATCAAGAGATTTTTGGCATTCTTTGATGCTATGGTCTGTCATTCTCCGAGGAGTGATCCAGTGAGAACTTAGGGCAATGGACACTTGGCCTCCTTGAGTTGGACGGAAGGAAGTATTGTAGAGATGCCAGATTTTGGCATGAGCCTATAAAAAGAAAAACCATGGTGAGCTTATTTCTTATTACAAAGAGAAATTGAATGAATCTCCAGCTCTAGTTGTATCTGTTTCTCATCAAAATCTCATCTAATAACTAACCCTACAATGTGAAAATCACCTGGAACCTATGAATTGTTTCAGAGGTAGCTCAGCCCCCAGTGAACTGCTACTATGACTGGAATTATTTCCATAGTTTTTCAGGAGCCAGTGGAAAAATATGAATTACTTGTGCTGAATGTGTAATTATTATTCACACTTTGAAAATTAATGAAATAAGAATTTGTTTATAATATCTTACTCCTTAATTGACTTTGGATTATGTGCTTTTTAATTAATGGGCTTTGTATAAAGAACCAGTCCTGCATCTGTGATCACACCAGGAATTTCTAAATAGGATTATCATATATTTCTTTTATCCTAAGAGACTGGGAGTTTTCAAATTGACTCAAATTGTTGGAATCAATTTAATATTTTGTATTCATCTTTCATAGCTAAAATTCTAACACATGTTCTTCTTATAATCTTTTATTTTTTTCCTCCCTAAGAATCAGCACAATAAATTAAGAGACCAACTGCAATATCTAACCTTGACCCACCCTCCAGAACTGTTGGATAGTGCTGGCTTCCCACAGGCCCCATGGTGCAGCCAAAAGCAAAACATAATAATAATAATAAAAAACACCTAAATAGAACTTTGATGAGATCAGATATCCACAGTTAGTACTCAGCTGAAAGTTTCCTATGGCAATGTGATGTTTCCATAAAACTAACTCTATCCTCCCATAAAATTTTCTTGACTTTTCTTACTTTCATTAATTTCCTTTTTATTTACAAAGAATACTGAGGATTATGGTATTATTCTCTCCTATTTGATTAAGTTTCTCTTTACCTTTGAATTCCTAGATTTACTCTTCCTATTTTTGTACCAATTCAAGATTTTATCAATCTTTTACACCCTAACACGTCCTTATTGAAAAATTTCTAATTCTGTTTGACTCATAGTATCCAACATGATGATGCCAATTTTCATTCCATTCCCTTGGCTTTTTCCCTCATATGCCAAATATCCTCTCCATTTTTCTTAAATATTCTTGTGGTTTATTTCAGTGCAGGCATCCAAGAATGGTCTCATCACCATTCTTGTAAGTTCAGCCAAACATTTCAATAAAATAAAATAGTTTATTTTTTAATAGTTTAACTTTCATTTTTAACTTCTTAGTAAATATCTATTTCAGATTTTATCTACTTCAGAAACACCATTTCACTAAATGTGTTTTGTGATGACCTGAAGCAGCTCTTTATATGCCAAGAAGGAAATGGAGAATAAAATGCTGATTAAAAGGACAGTGGCATTGGCCCATGCAATCCAAGAAGCTGGAACCTATGTTATGTTGCTGCCAGCATTCTCCACCCTTTTCTTTCTTTCTCACCTCCACCACTCACCCTTCCTTCCCCCATGACAAAAAGTCTCTCATTTAACAGTTAAAGAAAAAAGAAAGGGTACAGTCAACCTAGACTATAGTCTAGGTTGTTGGGACCTTGGACCAGGAGACTTTCCTAATTTGCCCCAATTGAGGTTTAGAACAAGTGTGATGATGGGGGGAGCAGGGAAGGGGTCAGTCAGGAATGAAGGCAGTCTAAGAGCTTCCTAATTCTGTGTGTATTTGCTGAAACTCAGACAATAAAATTGTCTGAAATTACAGACCATGCTTCTAACCTTGAGTCCTTCAGCAAGGCTCAGAGGAGGTTTGGTGAGGAAAAGAATGATGTGGGTCTTACTGAAGTGTGCACAAGGCTTTTGATGTCAGACAAAATCCCTGCTCACTTTTATTTTTTTTAACTTTGCGTGTAAGAAGTTCAGGTTGCGAGAGGATTTACCAGAAACAGTGGGGAGCAGAACAGGTGGATTTACCAAAATACACTGGTAAGGGGAGCAGCAAGCAAGACAGGGAGGTCTGCTTCACCTTGTGCAGGCCTGGCCTGGGATGGAACTCAGGCCATAGCGGTGATAGGGCTGAGACTTAACCCTGACACCACCAGAGAGGTCTCCCTGCTCACTCTTGATTGTATGCCTTTGCTCACATGACTTAACCTGGGTAGGTACACTAACTCGCCTGTATCTCTCACAGGGCTGTTGCAAGGACTAAATGAGATAATTTACGTAAAACACCTATGTTTGCATACAGCAGGATCTCCATGCATGCTTACTCTTTCTGTTCCTAAAGGATGAAGAGTCCAAAAAGGAAGAACTTCACAAGTAAGGGAAACATTACCAACAAGGAAAACACTACCCACTGAGGATTTCATTCCAGAGTATCAATGGGATGTAGTGATTCAACCTGGAGTTTGGATTAGAAGAGAATTAGGGTTGGATCCTCTAAGTATTACAGGTATTAGTTTCAGTTTCTCCTCTGTGCTAATGAGAATAGTGTTTATACTCTTACAGGGACATTGTGAGGATTAAATTCTATGATGCAGGGCCTCCCTGGTGACACAAGGGGTTAAGTCGCAGCATTGTAAAGCTATCCACAGGCACTGCAGCATAAGTTTGATCCCCCGGCTGGCCAGAGCGCTACCTACATAGCACAGCAGACCTCTCCTCTCTCTCCTGCTGTTCCCCTCGGCAGTGTATTTCAGTAGATCTGCCTGTTCTGCTCCCCACTCTGTCTCTGGTGAATCCTCTCACCCCCACACCTCTGGCCTATACTCCAGTTCTTGTACACATAAATAAATAAATCTTTAAAAAATAATAAAAATTAAAAAATAAATTCTATGATGCAAATGAAAGTGTCTATCAAGTAGTTGATTATTTTAGAGAAGCATAAGTTGCGGCATTGAAAAGTACGGTGGTTAATTTTAAGTGTCAACCTGACTGAAATTACACCATTAGCTTTCCTGGACCTCCAGCTTAGAGATGGTAGATTGGGGAACTTTCTCTATGGAAAGACTCCATAGCCACATGAGTCAAACCCTCATGATAAGTCTCTTTCTACATATTTACATATAGTTTATTGTTTCTGTTTCTCTTACATCCTATACTGCAGATATACAATAGCTGTGAACTGTCCAGAAAGGAAATGGAGAAAACAACCCTATTTATGATTCAAAAAGAATGAAATACTTCAAAATAAATGTAACCATTCTCACCACTAGATAGATGATATAGATAGATAGGCAGGCAGGCAGATAGATAGATAGATAGATAGATAGATAGATAGATAGATAGATAGATAGATAGATAAGGAGTGAATGAAGACTGATGACAGAGTGTTAATGCCTTAGTCACAGGCAATGCTATTTCATAGACAGAAATATAATAACCTAGGATTGATGTAGCAAGAGAAAATTGGTTTTCTCTAAAACACGAATTCATTTCTGAAACTACAATAGTAATTTGTTACCTTTTAAAAAAGCAGTCTTTTAGCTTTTAACTAAAAGAATCAATACTAACTTATTCATTGATCCATGCATTCATTCATCCATTCACTCATTCATTCATTAAATAAATGCTGTCATAGGTGCTTTTCTAAGTTCTTAGTAATCAATAGGATTCAAAATAAGATTCTGTTCTCATTGAGCTTACATAATTATTTGTAAGATTAAATTAATCCTCTAATAATAATTCCTTTTCAATTTTTAAAAAATCTAAAGAATGTCAGCAAAAAATGACCCACTTGGTGTTATTTCTGGGCCATATTTCAATTATTATTAATTTTATCCATATCTTGGAAGAAAGAGAGATAACAAATGAATGAAATCAGAGTAAGATGGGAGAAGATGACTGATTAGCAAGGAGGAGTACAGTTTGGACACAAAGGCTTCTTTGACAAGATATTGTTTGAGGAGAGGAAAAATGAAGGATGGTAAGTAAGAGCTGGAGAGGAGAAAGCATTTAGGCACAGAAGAGTGGGCAAGAATAAAGGAAGATCTGTGGGCCAGGAAGGAAGGTGACAGGTTGGAGAGAAAGCCATAAAGAAAGCAAAGAGGGCACCTCCTAGGACAGAAGATCAGACACAGGTATTTAACCCCCACCCCACCCCAAACCTAGTGGGCAGTTGCCACTGATGACTGAGGTGGGACTTAAGAAGTCAGCTTGAGGATGAGAACTCGGAGATAATTCATTCTCCAGAGCTCCCCGAGGGGGTGAGGTTGAGATGGCAGCTTGCTTACCAGCTTCCCTTCCCTAGTTATGCTCCCAAACCCTTATTGATTTTCCTTAGGAGTACTGCATTGCCTGATTCAAGACTGGCTTCTGGAGAAGTCTGACCTTTGACAGGTTGGGACCACATTGGCCCACATTGATAAAACTTATTGAGGATTCCATTGTAAATGTAACAGAAGGTTACTAGATGGATGAAAATAACAATTAAGAACATGGACTTGGTCAGGTTGTTCTAACATACCTTCTTATTAGTTGTGTGACCTTGGACACACAATTTAAATCTTTGTGTCTCTTGCTTCTTCATCTGTAAAACAGGGATATCAATAGCTCCTATGTTCACATCCTTTTTAGGATGAATTAAGTCAGACTTGAAAGCGCTTTGAGTTGTGACTGTCCATGTACATTTATGATTCAAGTGGTAGTAACATAATTTGATAGTGATTTTTAAAAGATCACCAAATGCCATATGGATAATAGATTCTAGGAGGGCAAAGGGGCACGAGGAGACCAATTAGGAACTATTACAATAGTCAGGTAAAAGACGATGCTGGTTTGGACCAAAGGCGATAGGGAGACCAAGCAGGTTTAGGCTACGGCTGAATGCAGAATCAATAGAACTGGCTGACGAACTAGATGTTACATAATTACTTGCAAGGGAAATAAAAGAATCAAGAAAACAGAGAAAGCAAAAAAGTAATGGATTGGGGAAGAGAAGGAATCAGATTCTGTTTAGATGATTGGTTTGATATCTCAATGAAGATGCCTGGTCAACAATTGAGTAGGAGTCTAAAGTTGGAGAAGTGGTGAATGCTATTAACAATCATTA